CGTGCCCGGTTTGGTGCCGGCAGGGTTTGCCGAGGGGTTTTGTATTGCCCGCTGGCGTGAGCCGAACAGTTCCAGCCCCCCCCGCCGGCCGGAGGGGTGAGCAAGTGATTGCCCTCCCTCCTGCCCTGTTTTTCTCTTTATTTTTTATTTTTTTCCTTCCCAGTTTGATGTTACAGACAGTTCTGTGCGAAGTATGAGGTATGGTGCGATGCCAGGGACAGCCTATGCTAAATTACAAACAAATCCACCCACACATTACTAGAGAGTAACCATAATAAAGGCTGAAAAGCGAGTTTTAGCAATTGGATTAAAGCCAATTAGTTCCTGGCACGAACAGAATCTATAGGTATGTTGTCGAGATTAGCTACACGGCGTTCGCGTCTATTATGGTCCTATTTTAAATAATGATATCTGTGTCAGATCAGACCAGGAAGGGCTGGATCCAGAAGGTGGAGGGAAGGCGAGAAGCTGCCCGTGCTCCACGCCGCAGGAGGTTCGCGTCCAAGTCACAGCGAAAGTCTCTGTCCTCTCCTCACAGCCCCTCGCTCCGAGCCACTCGAGGTGGATTTTTTTGTTATTGTTTTCCTCCATCGAGCGTCAGACAAATTCGAGAGCCGGGAGGACACTCGCTTATTTTACTCCTTGCAGTGGCCGGCGGTAGTTTCTCCCTCCAGACGGTGTTTTTTCTGCCGATTTTGGAGTCGATTGGGACAAGTCTTTCTTTTTTAGGAGGAGTATCTTTATCCTTCTTGAGAGGAAATGATCGGGATTAACGAGCTGCTTTCTGCAGAGATTTTTTTGACAGACCCTCACGGCGAAGGAGGTTTGGCGGCATTTTCTGGCCAGGCAGCTTTACTCGCAGGAGGCCTGCAGCACCCCGGCTATGCTTTCCTTCATTATTTTTCTTATGTGGCGTGATTAAGAGAAGACGAGGGCTTTATTCTGAACTGTAAAACAACAACAACAAAAAAACCATCACGGGGGACTGTGGTAAGACTTGTGGGTGTAACTGCTTTTTTTTGAGCCGCCCGCGGGTAGCACCACCGCAGCCCGGGGGCTGCAGGCACCGAGGAGTCCGTCAGGCAGCCGCTCGCCAGCCGTCTGACCAAGTGCTCGCAGTTTTGCGTGTGAATTCCTTCCTTACGCAGAAAAGCGACTATCTTTTAGTACATGAATGTTATATATATATACATACACATTTCTGGAGTTAACTTTGAGGGAAATTATCATCCATATTTTTTGTTTACAAAACTATGAGCACTATTATTACTCCTGGCCGAGAGTTATCATAATTAGGCCATCCAAAACGGCG